GAGATAAAAGTTTGGATATTTCATATTATTTCTAAGTAGCCTCCTGACTCTTTCGCGTTGAGCTTATAATGACCTAGGGAGATGGCATTGAAAATGTGAGTCTAGCGAAGTCCCACGCATCAACCAGTATGCGACGCGTTTCGCCCTCTAATATACAACACACTTTTAAATTTTAAGCTCAACTCGAAAGGGAGAATTATCAAATATTCATAAACAAATGACCTTCGCGTTTGAGCTTAATTCTGAAGGTTAGTATTTATCATTCAATCAACATTTCACAGAATCCCAAAACTATACATTATTTCTCCGATTTTATTTTTTCCGACCCATTTGTAATTTTTTGTTATTTATCCTTCACTTTAAAGAGGGTCCAGTCAAAGCAACATATCCTTTTTCCCTTTACAATAGCCTAAAATTTACATAAATCTTCTAGACGTCTGTAAAAAAGATTTTGAAACTAATTTGCATAATTCTTGCAGACTTCGATAAAACAATGAATGGCATATTCTTCTAGGAGAAAATAAAAAAAAAAACAATAAAATGTATATTAAAAAGCCAGACAAAAAGTCAAGGTCCGAACAATTAATCAAGTTTTCCAACTCAAAGACTGCAAGTCAGTGAATTGAAAAAAAAACAGAAAAACAATATTCATGGTCAATCAGAAAACAAATTGAAGACAAATGAAACCCAATTCACACCTCGAGATAGACCATTGTTTTTTTTTTTTCTTTGCAGCTAGAAAGTTACCATCAACTTCTCATTAGCAAAGATGGTCTTATGACACACGACACCTTGCCGTCTGGACACATGCAATTAATCGAAAATGTATGGCAGGGAAAGAAGAGAGGAAGGAGAAGAGCTGTCTATGACTAAACGATTTCTGGTTAACCTAAATCATGGACAGGGAAGACAGTAATGATTTTCCATTTTCAGGTGAGGACACAATGTTACTCCTGTGGCAAGAAACCAAACTTAATGGGAATTAAGTAAATGGTCCTTTGAAGCGAAGAGCAAAATTAAAATAGTCGTGAATGTGTACTTCGTTGGTTCTAAGAGCAATGCTTTGGCCGAAGGTGAGAAAATTTCACCACAATTTTATGAGAGGGAGAGTAAGTCCTTTAAATATTCTCATTACAAAGAAGAGAGTGTGTGTGAGAGAATTCAAGCTGAAGTAATAACCTAGATTTGTTATCGAGAGAAGGCGAGCTGAAGAGTGAAGTTACATTCCTCTGAAAAGAGAGAAATGCTAACCAAAAAATAAGAGAACATAAGAGTTGCTGTTAAGAGAAATTATGTTAATAACAGTAAACAAATTTGGCTTAAAATTCATGTTAAGTTTCTATGATGATATAATAACAGCTGCTAGTGCTCTAAATAGACTCTGTTCAAAAATTACAGCATACTTTTAGGATTGGGCAGTAACAGAACATATCAAGTGCAAACATTTTATAGCAACTTCTAAACATATAATATACAAAAATGGCAATAACATTCCTATGCCAGCAACAGATCCTGTTCAGTTCAGGAAAAATTAAAAATCTACGTTGCTGGCTTGGATGGCACATAAAAATGTTTTCCAAAAAAAAAGAAAATAAATAAATAAATAAAATAAAAAAAAAATAAAAATAAATAAATAAAATTAAAATAATAATGACAGTAAAATAACAACGACTTGCTAGAAGGTACCTGAAAAATAGTCTATATAAAAAATTGAAAAATATTTTATAAAAATCAATGTTGAAGTCCTAGATAGTCCTTGGAAATGTTATTTTTTAAAAACTCCAAGTTTGGCAATGAATTTGCCTCTATAGGTTAAAAACCGTTGGTTGATGATTTTTTTCTATTCGAAAAAAAAAAATTATAAACATTGGTTGATGAATTTTTTCGATACGGAAAAAATCCATAACCGTTGGTTGATGAATTTTTTCCAGTCGGAAAAAATCCATAACCGTTGGTAGATGAATTTTTTCTAAACGGAAAAAATCCATAACCGTTGGTTGATAAATTTTTTCTATTCGGAAAAAATCCATAACCGTTGGGTGATGATGATTTTTTTCTATTCGGAAAAAATCCATAACCGTTGGGTGATGATGAATTTTTTCTATTCGGAAAAAATCCATAACCGTTGGGTGATGATAAATTTTTTCTATTCGGAAAAAATCCATAACCGTTGGGTGATGATGAATTTTTTCCTCTTCGGAAAAAATCCATAACCGTTGGGTGAAGATGAATTTTTTCTATTCGGAAAAAATCCATAACCGTTGGGTGATGATGAATTTTTTCTATTCGAAAAAAATCCATAACCGTTGGGTGATGATGAATTTTTTCTATTCGGAAAAAAATCCATAACCGTTGGTTGGATGAATTTTTTCTATTCGAAAAAAATCCATAACCGTTGGGCGATGATGAATTTTTTCTATTCGGAAAAAATCCATAAACGTTGTTTGATGAATTTTTTCTAGTCGGAAAAAATCCATAACCGATGGTTGATGAATTTTTTCTATTCGGAAAAAATCCATAAACGTTGTTTGATGAATTTTTTCTATTCGGAAAAAAAAAATCCATAACCGTTGGTTGATGAATTTTTTCTATTCGGAAAAAATCCATAAACGTTGTTTGATGAATTTTTTCTATTCGGAAAAAAAAAATCCATAACCGTTGGTTGATGAATTTTTTCTATTCGGAAAAAATCCATAAACGTTGTTTGAGGAATTTTATCTATTCGGAATAAATCCATAAACGTTGTTTGAGGAATTTTATCTATTCGGAATAAATCCATAACCGTTGGTTGGATGAATTTTTTCTAGACGGAAAAAATCCATAACCGTTGGTTGGATGAATTTTTTCTAGACGGAAACAATCCATAACCGTTGGTTGGATGAATTTTTTCTAGACGGAAAAAATCCATAACCGTTGGTTTTTTCTAGACGGAAAAAATCCATAACCGTTGGTTGGATGAATTTTTTCTAGACGGAAAAAATCCATAACTGTTGGTTGGATGAATTTTTTCTAGACGGAAAAAATCCATAACCGTTGGTTGGATGAATTTTTTCTAGACGGAAAAAATCCATAACCGTTGGTTGGATGAATTTTTTCTAGACGGAAAAAATCCATAACCGTTGGTTGGATGAATTTTTTCTAGACGGAAAAAATCCATAACCGTTGGTTGGATAACCGTTGGGTGATGATGAATTTTTTCTATTCGGAAAAAATCCATAACCGTTGGTTGATGATGAATTTTTTCTATTCGGAAAAAATCCATAAACGTTGTTTGATGAATTTTTTCTATTCGGAAAAAATCCACAACCGTTGGTTGAGGAAATTTTTCTATTCGGAAATAAATCCATAACCGTTGGTTTCGGTGGTTTTTTCTATTCGGAAAAAATCCATAACCGTTGGTTGATGAATTTTTTCTAGACGGAAAAAATCCATAACCGTTGGTTGATGAATTTTTTCTAGACGGAAAAAATCCATAACCGTTGGTTGATGAATTTTTTCTAGACGGAAAAAATCCATAACCGTTGGTTGATGAATTTTTTCTAGACGGAAAAAATCCATAACCGTTGGTTGATGAATTTTTTCTAGACGGAAAAAATCCATAACCGTTGGTTGATGAATTTTTTCTAGACGGAAAAAATCCATAACCGTTGGTTGGATGAATTTTTTCTAGACGGAAAAAATCCATAACCGTTGGTTGGATAACCGTTGGGTGATGATGAATTTTTTCTATTCGGAAAAAATCCATAACCGTTGGTTGATGATGAATTTTTTCTATTCGGAAAAAATCCATAAACGTTGTTTGATGAATTTTTTCTATTCGGAAAAAATCCACAACCGTTGGTTGAGGAAATTTTTCTATTCGGAAATAAATCCATAACCGTTGGTTTCGGTGGTTTTTTCTATTCGGAAAAAATCCATAACCGTTGGTTGATGAATTTTTTCTAGACGGAAAAAATCCATAACCGTTGGTTGATGAATTTTTTCTAGACGGAAAAAATCCATAACCGTTGGTTGATGAATTTTTTCTAGACGGAAAAAATCCATAACCGTTGGTTGATGAATTTTTTCTAGACGGAAAAAATCCATAACCGTTGGTTGATGAATTTTTTCTAGACGGAAAAAATCCATAACCGTTGGTTGATGAATTTTTTCTAGTCGGAAAAAATTCATAATCAAAAAAATCTATTTTTTTCTGTTCGGAAATAATTGCTTGAAGCATGATAATGTTTCTAATATTAACAGTATGACACTTTTTACAGGTTTAGTAAACTGTTATACTGCCTTGTTAGTGAAATTTTGGCTTTACAGAAAATTTCAACTTAAAATATGTAAATGACCTAACATTCTGTCGAAGTGATGTTAGTTTACACTGTCTGTAAATAAGCTATGTGAGGAAAATATAGACAACATTATAAAGACTGTCATAAAAAGGCGCGAAAATGCTTTTAAGAAACATAAACCTTGCTTTTCATTGGCCTAACAGAAGAATATGCCAGGAAAGAGACCCTGGAAAAAATAAAAATTGCATACTCTCTTACATTTTTGTCAAATAAATCCCTTCTCTCCCACTTATCTTATTATTTCACCACACCTGTGAAACAATTCCATCTCACCAAAAATGAGAAGAGAACATCCTCTCTCTAACATTTCCCTGTTATGCCCAAGGCAAGAGAAGGAAAACATCACAAAACATTCAAAGGCAAGCAAATCATCCAAGACAAGTGCTGTTCGTCATCGTCGTCCAAAATATCATCACACAACGAAGGGAAACAAGAGAGGGAGAGATATCACACAGCAAATGCTGCAGGCCATTGGATTTCATGTGTGTTGTGTTATTCGTGTGACATAAAGAAGAGCACATCGGTAGCAAGGTACAACCAACCACAGGCAAACAAACAAAAAATGCCGCCGCAGCCGCCACTAACATTGACTTTGACCCAACATCACAGCCAGCTAGCTGGCTGGCTGGATGGCTGTCGAGCTCAGTAAGAGCTCGTACAGCAACGAGTGATGATAAACATTTTCAAACGGAAAATTACGAAAATAAAATGAGAAACGATTGTGTTGTGCACGAAACCCAAAAGAAATACGTACGAAGTATCAAAACAAAGTGTTTACAAGTGATGCGATAATAAAGTGTGAACGAAATACAAAAAAAGAAATTAAAGCGGCAAAATGTAACGGGAAAGAAGAACTGTTGAAAAATTGTTGAGAAAATTTGTGAAACTAACATTTATTCAGAAGGAAGCGAAATGAAGATAATGTAAGTAAACGATTTGTTTTTTATTTGTTGCATACTTTTAGGGAGTTAAAAAAATTCTATAGAAAATGTGAGTTATATTTGTAGTCTAAAAAATAGTACAAGAATAGTATGTGTTGTGTTGTATTTACTGCATACCAATAGGGAGTTCAAAAAGTATTATAAAATATGCTGCATATTTCTAGGCTGAAAAAAAATATTTTTTTGGATTCATGCAAGAAATAAGAAAAAGGGAATCGGAAAGTTGTTTTAAGGTCCATTGTAGAATTTTTGGAAATATTTTTCAAAGGATCGTCAAAATATGAAGGGAATTGAAATTTTAAAAACTTTCTGAAGGACTGTGAAAATAGTAATCAAGTCTATTTATTTATTTATCTTTTTTTTAGAAAATCTTGTTTATGTCGTAATTTGCCAGAATATTTCACTATTTGTTGTTAGAAAATGTATTGCCTATTTTTGGGGTGAAGAATAATTTCCAGCCTAAAGAGAACAACAAAAACAAGCCACAATATAGAAAAATATTTAAAATTTGATGATAAAATTTTTTGAAGGATCGTTCATAGCTCCATTAAGAATATTTGCAATGATGAGGGAAATAGTGAGAGACTTTTTTATATATTTTTGAAAGACTATTGAAAATAATAGAGAATCTCTAGCGCAAATTGTTGTTGTCTAACCGTGAATAACTTTCTAAAAATACATTACTAATTAGCTATTTCTTATTGTAAAAACTGGTGTCTATTTCTAGGCTAGAAAATATTAAAAACACACAATTTGTTATTTACATATTGCATACTTTAAGGAGGTTCGATTTTTTTAAACAAAATGTGAAATTTATTTTTAGGCTGAAATGTGTATTTCTAATCTCTACGGAAAAAAATAGAAAGAAATATAGGAATGTTAAGAGACTCATAAAAATATGGAATTATTGCAACAAAAATAAATTATAGATAATTTTTAAGGGGTACAATAATATTTTTCCCTAAAACAAGTGATATAAATTTCCTTTAATATTTTGCTATTATTAAAAGTGGTGCATATTTTTAGGAAGGCAAATATTAATTTTTCGAAGGGTCAACCATAACAAGAAAGGCGAAAGATTATAAATATTTTTTGTGGCATCATGGATAACTTTTTTAGAAATATTGAAAAAGGGTAGAGAAATGGAAGTGAAGCGCTATAAAAATAATGTATAGAAAATTAAAATTGACTAAAATGATTTTTTTCGAACATAATTACTAATATGCCGACTAAGGGCTCGAATTTTTTAAGATTCGTATTTGACATACCATTAGAGAAGATATTAGATTTTTTTTAATTAAATTGTTACACACTGAAGAGTAGAATTTTACGCAGAATCTCAAGACGTTGTTCGAGGGACAGTATTGAAATTACAAAACAATTAGGTATTCCCTACTGGACTTTCTAGAGGTGTTTTCAAGGAAAATTGATGATTTTTTAATGATATATTCTAGGAAATATTTTTGGGGCGCTTTTTGATTATGTTTGAGTATTGAGCAATTTTTGCATATTTTTGGAGAGGTCGGGCGATAATAATAGAAAAAAAATTATTATAAAAACATAGGTTTTCTTAAAAATACTATTTTATTATTCATATTATTTTTTTACTAGAATCATGATTTTTTTTAAAAATATTTATTTAAAGACGAATTATAAGTGTGGATTTTTTAAAAATATTTTTTCAAAGACCATCTATAATCGTGGATTTTTTAAAAATATTTTTTCAAAGACCACCTATAAACGTGGATTTTTTAAAAATATTTTTTCAAAGACCATCTATAAACGTGGACTTTTTAAAAAATATTTTTTCAAAGACCATCTATAAACGTGGATTTTTTAAAAAAATATTTTTTCAAAGACCATCTATAAACGTGGATTTTTTAAAAAATATTTTTCCCAAGACCATCTATAAACGTGGATTTTAAAAAAATATTTTTTCAAAGACCATCTATAAACGTGGATTTTTTAAAAAATATTTTTTCAAAGACCATCTATAAACGTGGATTTTTTAAAAAATATTTTTTCAAAGACCATCTATAAACGTGGATTTTTTAAAAAATATTTTTTCAAAGACCATCTATAAACGTGGATTTTTTAAAAAATATTTTTTCAAAGACCAACTATAAACGTGGATTTTTTAAAAAATATTTTTTCAAAGACCAACTATAAACGTGGATTTTTTAAAAAATATTTTTTCAAAGACCAACTATAAACGTGGATTTTTTAAAAAATATTTTTTCAAAGACCAACTATAAACGTGGATTTTTAAAAAATATTTTTTCAAAGACCAACTATAAACGTGGATTTTTTAAAAAATATTTTTTCAAAGACCAACTTTAAACGTGGATTTTTTAAAAAATATTTTTTCAAAGACCAACTATAAACGTGGATTTTTTAAAAAATATTTTTTCAAAGACCAACTATAAACGTGGATTTTTTAAAAAATATTTTTTCAAAGACCAACTATAAACGTGGATTTTTTAAAAAATATTTTTTCAAAGACCAACTATAGACGTGGATTTTTTAAAAAATATTTTTTCAAAGACCAACTATAAACGTGGATTTTTTAAAAAATATTTTTTCAAAGACCAACTATAAACGTGGATTTTTTAAAAAATATTTTTTCAAAGACCAACTATAAACGTGGATTTTTTAAAAAATATTTTTTCAAAGACCAACTATAAACGTGGATTTTTTAAAAAATATTTTTTCAAAGACCAACTATAAACGTGGATTTTTTAAAAAATATTTTTTCAAAGACCAACTATAAACGTGGATTTTTTAAAAAATATTTTTTCAAAGACCAACTATAAACGTGGATTTTTTAAAAAATATTTTTTCAAAGACCAACTATAAACGTGGATTTTTTAAAAAATATTTTTTCAAAGACCAACTATAGACGTGGATTTTTTAAAAAATATTTTTTCAAAGACCAACTATAAACGTGGATTTTTTAAAAAATATTTTTTCAAAGACCAACTATAAACGTGGATTTTTTAAAAAATATTTTTTCAAAGACCAACTATAAACGTGGATTTTTTAAAAAATATTTTTTCAAAGACCAACTATAAACGTGGATTTTTTAAAAAATATTTTTTCAAAGACCAACTATAAACGTGGATTTTTTAAAAAATATTTTTCAAAGACCAACTATAAACGTGGATTTTTTAAAAAATATTTTTTCAAAGACCAACTATAAACGTGGATTTTTTAAAAAATATTTTTTCAAAGACCAACTATAAACGTGGATTTTTTAAAAAATATTTTTTCAAAGACCAACTATAAACGTGGATTTTTTAAAAAATATTTTTTCAAAGACCAACTATAAACGAGGCTGTTTTAAAAATATTTATTTTATAAAAATACTTTTATATTTCATTAAATCCGTATATCTTGAATCCGCATCTTGAATTCTGTCCTAAATGCTGTAAATTGTAATATGCGATTTGAGTTCAGCCTGGTCGAATTATCGTCGCTTAAAATAGCATGCGATAATGCATATCATAACATATCTCCTCTAAATTTTGTGTCATATTCAAATTCCTTTTCACATCCTGCATGAGGTCATTGAAAATTACCCTCCTGCTGTCAGCAGATTAATAATTCATATCTTCCGCACAAAATATTTGCACATATTTGACACGAAATAAATTTACAATTAAGAATATCATCGCTTTAACTGGCACTAATCTAATTATGATAATTGGCCGAAAGCGATTTTCCAAAATGTGGCAAAAAAAAAAAATTAAAATTGGTTTGCGATAAAAATTGGACAAACATAAGTCATAATAAAATTAGTTATTATTTGTTAAACAAAACGGCACAGACAAAAGGCAACAAATTTGTTCAGATTATTTTCATTGATGATGTTGTTGTTGCTGTTGTGCCGAAAAATCAACAAGCCAGAAACAAAATTTTTATACAAAAAAAAAAATCGAATCCAGGGACATGACTTACTACCAAAAAAATCGAGACAAAACTGAACTCATCTGAAAACTGAACAAATGAAAATTATTGTACAATTTTGTTGTCGAGTTTTTTTTTTTTAACTGACCAAACAAATTTACGTCACTTTTGCCAGTCGGCCGGGGGAGGCGGAGGGGTCTTCATTTGTTTATTTGCTTTACGGCAACAACAATCATGTGTGTGTGTGCCAAATCAGCAAGAGAGCAACAATATACCATCATCATCACCGGCAGCTCCCTTTGCAACCTTGCCACCCTTTCACACACACAGACACACACCCATCCACTGTCGAGCCAACGAGACAGCCGACCACCAGCCATTGTCCTAGGCGACAAACAACAGCACCACACCAATTAATATAACAAAGTCAAACAGATCAACTGAGGTATACTTCGTTTATAAAACTATGTGCCGCCGGAAAGTATGCAATGCCCAACGACACATAACAATGTGTGGAGACACATCTACACATACGTACACAGTGTTGTATGTGTTGATACACGTCCAGAAGTATTCAAATATTGTCATCCGTTCACCACACACAGACACATATCCTGTTGTGAAATGGGTTGCCAGCTGATGGTGTTTTTTTATTCGATAAGGATTCGAAAAGGACCTAGGGAGGGTATTTTAAAAAATATATGCAGATGGACTTTTTGGGATAATTTTGCAAGGAAAATTTCAAAGGACTTTTGAGGAATTTTAAGAGCTATAGCCGTGGATTCCTTTAAATTATTTTTGAGGGTTTTCCAGTCCTACCTGTGTCGATTTTTTATTTGAACATGATATTGATATTTCGTGATTTTTTTTCTTCAAAAAAATACTTATGAAATATTTTAATAATCGTCGATATTTTAAATATTTCTATAAGGATGTTTAGAGTTAGAATAGTGATTTTTTTTAAATTCTTAAAGGATGTTCAGATTTTAAATCAGAAATTTTTAAAAAATATTTTTGAAGTGTAATCGTCCGTTTTTTAAAAGATATACTTCTTAAGGATAAACAGGGTTAAAAAA